ATAATAAGGTGGGGATGTCAAAACACCTGACAACTGTGCTGCCACTTGCCCCGCCCGGCACAGCAGACATTCTATTTACTACATGGTGCCACAAGGCCCCAGTGGGACCCAGAATCCTGATCAGCAGGATTCCAGGGATCCTGGGTGAACTGAAACCCTTTTGCTTTCCTGGCATCAAGGCCAGACTTGATTGTTGAGCTAGAGTCAGATCTCCCAGCAGTGAACCTGAAAGTGCTAGGTCCCTCCCTATTCATACTTCATGGGTATAGAGACTGTAATTTCAGGGTTAGGATTTTTTTTTTCTCTTGAGACAGTGTTTTGCTATGTAGTTCAGGTTGGTCTTGAACTCACTATATAGCCCAGTCTGGCCTTGAACTCACAGCGATCCTCCTGCGTCAGCTTCTGGAGTGTCGGGATTACAGGCATGGTTAGGATTTTAATTTCATACTCAATTAGACCACAGCGAACTCTGGATATCCATTATGGGAAGACATATTAAAGGAATTTGAGGTCTTTGGAAAGTTACTTAACTCCAGTCAGGAAGAGGTACTGGCCTCACCATATGCTCCCTTCAGAACAGTTTCCAAGAATGTGAAATCAAGGAAAAAAGGTTACCTCCATCTTACTTCAAGTAAAAAATACACAACAGAGGAAACAATCTAACCTCAAAGTACTTTTCTGGATCAAGGGCAGAAGATATAACTTCTTTATTTAAGAAATTAAATATTATCTTACAGATCTTCCAACAAGAGGGTATAATTTAAACCTTGTAAAGAGTTTTTTTCCCCATAATTTCAAGACTCTATATTCTCTGCCTGTCTTTCAGCAATAAATATTCCTCCTTACCCCTAGACACTTCAACCCCCTTCATTTTTGAATCCTAGTCTGCCTATCAATTTCAGTTTAAAAGAGGATTAGTTCACCCCCAAGTGTGTACAAATTAAGTAACTAAAGGCATATTTACATGGATCTTTTACCTCTTTTCCATTATTGTAGCCATGTATCCTTATGCTACAATCATAAAAGATTATAAAAATTTAAATGCCATATAATTTTCATGGATCATTGTTATGTTCCCGAATGGCAGCAGCCTAGGGAAGCTGTTCCTTGGGATTTGGTTCATAGGTATTTGACCCCTACAGCCAAGAGAAAAGGAAGCCTGGCTACTGTTGCACGTGGTGGCAGACCTTGGCATCATCCATGTGGTACTGGTTTTAGGTGCATGTAGAATGCAAGAATTGTGGGGCCAGGAAGGTTTCCACCCATATTTCTGAAGAAGGCCTGGGAGGTCAGACAGTGTATCCCTGAGAGGGCATTGTCTGAAGCTGTGTGAAGCCGAAGGTGCAATGGAGACCCCAGAAGTTTGGAGAAGCCAGGACTATGGATCGTCTGAGGAAAATTGTGAGGCAGGAGCAGAGCTGGCCCAAGAAAGAAGCCTAGGGAACTACAACCACTGGAAATGCCATAGGGGCAGTCACTAAGCCCTTTGAAGTGCATGTCTTTTTTTTTTTGGTACCAGGGATAGAACTTGGGTCCTTGTGCTTGTGAGGCAGGCTTTGGAAGAACTGAGCTAAATCTCCGGCCCTGAAGTTCATGTCTTGCCACAGATTGTCATGGATGCTGGACATGGAACTATAGGTCTTTAATGTCTGTCCTGCTGGATTTTGGACTTGCTTTGATCCCATTCCTTTGTATTCCCCTATTTGCACCTTTTGGAGTGGGAGTGTCTATCCTGTGTCATTAAATGTTGAAAGTATTTAACTTTCTTTTCATTTGTACAGGGGCTTGCAGCTAAGAGTAAGCCTTAAATCTCAGAGGATACTTTGGACTTAAGACTTTTCAGCAATGCTGTAACTGTTAGGACTTTGGCAACTCTTGGAGATGGACTAAATTCCTTTTTCATAAAGGGATGTGCATGAGCCTTTGAGGGGTCAGGGGCAGAATGTTATGGCTTGTGACTAAACGTTCCCCAAAACCTCATGCAGTCATAGGTGGGGCTTTTTCAGAGGTGGCTGGATCTAGAGTGTGTGATTGATACATAGTGCAATGCTGGGATTAAAGGTGCTAGGATTAAGGATGGGTGATTACTACATCAGTCCACTGATTGGTTTGGCACCACCCTAACCTTGGTAACCTGGATATAATATAAGGGACAGAAAGGGGCTTGTCTTGTCCCTTGTTTGTTTTGCTACCTTCTGTCCACCATGAACTGTTTTTCTTCTGCAATGCCCCTCTGACACGCCACCCTGCCTTGGAGCCAACCAATTATACACTGAAACCTCTATAAACTGTGAGCCAAATAAACCTTTCCCCCTTTAACTTTGGGTGTTGGGGATTTTGTCTCAGCAATGAGAGAGAAGTAACTAAGAAAGCCATGAAGTATTCCTCTTTTAATTTTTTCAGCTACTTAAAATTGTAAAAACCATTCTTAGTTTGTGGGCCATACAAAAGACAAGCAGTAGGCTAAATTTGACCTAAAGCCTGTAGTTTATTGACCCTTGACACTATGAAAAGTACTTTACCGAATAAGTTCTATTTTACATAAAATTCTATTATTATTTGCCTTGGACTTCTCTTTCTCTCTCTTACTTTAATTAAAAAATATAATGTATTTCAATTAATCTCTTTGTTCCATTGGAAGGATTTTCTTGCATCTGCCTTGGTCAAACGATTAATCCTTTATATAATATGGGGGTTATTTACCTAAATATCTGAAAGTTTACATGTTATATAATATTGTCCTTTCAAAGACAATTTGTCTAGAATCTCTGCTTATTATAATTTCCTCAAATTGGATATGTTTTTCCAAAGTAATAAGATCTATTTCTCACATCTTCCAATATCTTAGGTGTATGAATGATTTATTGAAAGGAAAAAATAGAATAAACAGTCAAAAGAATTAGCCAAAAATGCCGAAGGGCAGAGAGATGAATGTAATTATCAATGCCTTTTTATGAACTTTTTATCTATAAAGGGAGTAAGGAAGCCAAGCTTCAGTGTGGAAGTTGAGATTAAATCCTGGTTAGTCACTGAGAAAATAGGAATTAAATATGAATGGGTAGGAGAAAAAAACCTTTTAAAAAATGAATAGTAAGAATGTCTCCAGAGCCAGATGATACACAGAATTCCCACTGGGGTGGTATGAAGAGTTACTTGGTGGTCTCCCCTATCCCCTACCAGCTGAGAGATGAGGACACTACTCAAACGTCTCTAGGTAAGACTGAGTATACTGTGTACACTAGATACTGTACCTGAAGATACCTGATATAAAAAGAGATGAGTCCATGGTGTTTTTGCTAACATTTTTGAAGCTTGTCATCAGTACTACTATCAATGGTGTAGGTCTCTCTACTGGTGCAGTAAACTAATTATGTGGAAACTGTACAGAGAATATAGGTAAAAAATATGATGGACTATCTGGATTTTCTTCTTTACATCTTAAGAGAAGTGTACACCACTGTTAAAGGCACATCTGTGTCTCTTTCTACCACTTGTCATAATCATTCTGGGCTTTTACATGCCACTACCACTGGGCTTGACAGGGCAGTGGCGTAAGATACACACAAACTTTAAGATGAAATGATCCACTGAGAAAACAGAGCACATTTTTTTTTCTTTTTTGGTTCCAAGGATCAAACTCAGGACCTTGTGCTTGCAAGGCAGGCACAGTGCCACTAAGCTAAATCCCCAGCCCTCGAAATACATTTTTGATCCTCACCTACTTACACAAACTTACAGGTCCTACTCTCATTTTTATGACTAAAATTGAATGGAAATGCAAGCTTATTTTTAATATATTTGCTTACAATGCAAACTACTCCATTTTCAGACTTACTGGGAAAATAGTTGTAAGCTTGTACTTTTAGCTTGTGAATTCCATGTAGATGAAATACAGTACAGCGTTTAGAAAAATTGTTTTCAACATGATTTACAAAATCAATACTTCATACCTTATTAAGATCATGTTAAGAGTACTACAGACCTTAAAACTTCATCAAAAGGTGAATAAAGGATAAACTCCTTTAAAGTATATGAGTCTGTGAAAATTAAGGCAAACAAATGTGAGATTTATGGTTCTAGTTTTAAAACAAACAAAGAAAAGTGGACAACTACAACTTCATTTGTTTCACCAACCCTCTGGCAGTATCTTTGTTTTATAGGTACAGAATAAAACTATGTTCCATCAGTATCTTTGTTCTGTATCAGTGATAGATAATGTGTGCTTAGAAAGGTATAACATCACATCTATGTGGTTTGATGGTTAATCTTGGTTGTCAACTTGACTGAACTGAGAAACACCTAATAAATTAGTAAAACACATTTCTGCGTGTGTCTGTGAGGGTGTTTAAAGAGATGATTGGCATGGAGGACAGTAAACTGAGGAGAGAGAGTCACCTTGAAAGTGGACAGCTCCTCCCAAGAGGCTAGAGGCCTGGATAAAACAAAAGTGGAGGGAAGAGGAAGCCCACCAGCCTGGGCTGTTTCTCTCTTTACTTCCTGGCTCCCGTGAGGTGAGCAGCTTTCCTCTACCACACCCTACAGCCATAACATCTCTCTGCCTCACCTCAGGCCTAAAAGCAATGGAGCCACCCGGCCACAGACTGAAACTTCTGAAACCATGAGCCAAAATAAACCTTTCCTCCTTTAAGTTGTTTTCCTGTTATTTTTCACAGCAAAAGAAAGTTGACTACTATACTAGGTGAAATATGGCAGTTAGTCTATCCAATAAACAGTTTCTTATTTACTAAGACCTTAAAACACTATGCAGAAACAATGTTATGTGCTTGCCTTTATAAAAGATAAAAACAACAAGAAAACAATGGTCCTATATGTTGAAGCAAAAAGTATTTGGTGGAAGAAACCAATAAAAACTTGAAAAGCTCTCAAAACAAAGCTTTACCTTACATGTTCATACTGGAAAGAACTGTAAATCTATTAGGAGAGGATAGAAAAGGTTAAGTTTCACTTGTTTCACGCTGATTTAAAACATTTGTACTTACATCTTGTCTTGGCCAGCACCAACTCGCAGAGTCAATCTGGGGATAACTGGACTTGGGGCTGGAACAACTGGTTCCACTTTTATCTGTGGAAGTTAGTACATTACAAGTCAATATTATTTTTTCCCCTCTATAAAAGTGCCTGCTAGTGAGTCTATTTCCCAACCCCTACAAACTTAATAAACAAATTTAAGTCACAAATATGCCTAAAATGCTAGACATAAAGACAATCTGGCCTATTCTGTATTTTGTTTTGTTCTCAATAACTGAAGGCTATCTTGCAGCATGAGAAAGTCTATGAACTTTAATCATAATATGTAAATAGGGCAGTTATTTCTGTTTTATTACTTTGGGTTAATTTCTTGAGTTCTATTATACTGTTTTAAACAAAAATTGATATTTAGAGCATTTGGTGGAATATTTACATAATTGCCAGATTCAGCATAAATAGAAAACCTACAGTGATATTTTCCTTTTAAGATGAAATGCACATGTTTATGAGACTTGACAAACATTAAACTCGTTATTAAGTTTACTTTATCACATGTGAAAGCTGAAATGCCAACTGTAACTACAGCATTACACTATTCCATTTTTGGCTAGCAGTAAAAAGATCTGAAATGCTGTAAAATAAAAAAACTGTATTTTTTCTTAGAAAGGATTTATAGTGATTCCTGAAAAAGATGAAAAATTCAAATATTTGAGCTATTAGTTAGAAAGAAAACATAGAATTAAGTATCACATTAAAGGGTCTCCACAATTTTTTTGTTTGAAGGTTTTATGGTATAATAAATATTTTGAATAAGCTAAACAAAAACTCTGTGGCTCCAAATTATTATTTACATCAAAAGAAATTTTTTTTTTGTACAGGGGATCGAACTCGGGTCCTTGAGCTTGCGAGGCAGGCGGTGGAACCACTGAGCTAAATCCCCAGCCCTACATCAATTTTCAATGGGGACTTGACTGGCATTTTCAGTGGGATAATTCTTTGTTGTATGGGACTATGTCAGGCACTGACAGATGTTCAACGTCTATGGTCTTGGAATACTTTGTGCCAGCAGTTTACTGCCAGTCAATGACAACTAGCTGCCAACCACTGATTATGTATTTTAAGAATTAAATCATAATAGAAGGGTATTGATTCTAATACTACTCAGTACATTAAGTCACATTAGTGATTTGAACATGGGTCAATCTACAACTTTCTCTTACATATTTACCTGTCTCCTCCAAGAGTTTTGTTTAATCCACCATCATATCAAGATCTGCTTTGATCATTCTCTTGCACAGTGCCTGGCATGTAGGAGGTGCTCAGTAAACATCCCTGAATCAACACTATCTCAAATGTCCTCTCATCTCTCATGTCTCTTGGTTATTCCATTGTTCATCCATGACCAACCTGAAACTATCCTCCAGAGCACTAACTGATACCAGAGAAAAATTTATGTCTTCCACTATCAGTTTATTTGGATTTCCAGTTCACTCATTTTTTTTTTTTTGGTACTGGGGATCGAACTCGGGACCTTGTGCTTGGGAGGCAGGTGCCAGAACCACTGAGCTAAAGCCCCGGCCCTCCAGTTCACTCAGATATGGGGTGACACCACGTCTGCTTTGTTTATTGCTATTGGCCAGAGTTTATTAAGTGCTTAAGACATATTTAAAGCATGAATATGAAGCAATGAATCTAAAACTTTAACAAGACCACTGCCTTTTTGCTCAGCAAACTCCACAGGAAAAAGTATCAAGGCCACTAGGCAAGAGAACTCCTTCAGCTTCCTACACAGACTTTTCTGCACCCCTCCATTATAACTAGAGCCCATTTCTTCTGGTTTTTAAAGAATATTATTCATTAGCTTAATTATCTACAGTATCCTCAACCTACCTGGGCAATTAATTATTTTTATCTACCCTTTGAATGTGTTCAACTCTATTTTTTAAAAAAACTACCTTCCCCTCAACCTCTGGCTAGCAGTCCCTCACATTTTTGTCTTCATTATTTCTTTATTTACTTCATTGTCTCTGTTTCTTTGCTCCTTATTCATTCCTCAACCCGCTCCAATCTAGTTTCTTCCCCACTCCAATCTAGTTTCTAGTTTCTCACATTTTTCAGTCTTCATTAATTCTTTATTCACTTCATTGTCTGTTTCTTTGCTCCTTATTCATTCCTCAACCCACTCCAATCTAATTTCTTCCCCAATCCTGACTTGTAGGCACTAATTACTTCCTGATGACCCAGTATGTTTTCCATTATAGGTCTCCTATGCTTCTTCCTTTTCTTTACAAAGTCCCCTACTTTTGCCTGATCTTATTTGGTCCTCTCATCATTCTAGCTTCTTTTGGGATCTCATCCATTTCCATGGTTTCAACTGGGGATTTTAAATATGTTATTTCTTTAAAATTTCCCTTTCTTGACTAGCACTGATTGAACATAGGACCAAAATGTAAGGCTGTCTATTGAACATTTTCAAGTAGATATCCTGTAGGTATTTCATCTCATAACATCCTTTTTTTTTTTTTGGAGTTCTATAGATTGAACTGTGGGCCTCCTGCATTCCAGCCAAGCACATTACAGCCCAAATCTTAATTTATTAACGTCCCTACAAAAACCTGTCCATTCAATACTCTCACTTTTGGATGAGGTCTCTCTCATTTGCCCAGTCCCACAATATAGTACAGTAGATTTTCCTCCAGGCCCCAGAGGGTCAAAAGTCACTAGGTGGGGTAGAGCAAGACCCATGTGTAACTATCTAGGTTTTTTTGTTGTGTTCACTTTCTCCTTTTGGGAGGGAGGGATGACACAACATTCCATATTTAAACAAATCTGAGAACCAAGGGTCCAGTCTCTTTATTTTGTAAACTGTTGAGACTTCTATATTTTTGTCACCTTTTATGTTATCTGTAGGAGAACAAACAAATATAACCAAAATTAATAAATATTTATAACCCACTCACAATCTGCCAGGCATTATACTTGGTTATTTTCCAGGTGTTTTCATTTAGATCTTTTAACAAACATGTGAGGGAGATATTATGGGTTTCATTTTACAGGTAAACTGATCATATATGGAGTAACCATTTTTCTTTTTTTCATTTTGTTTTCCTATTTCACTTGAAGGTTATGCAAACAACAAAACTGGGATTGAATATGGTCTTTTTGACTTAGAGAATCAAAAATTATATAAATTTATATAAGTTAAAAAATAAATTTATATAAATTACATAAATTTCTTATATTTGTTCAATTTAAAAATTTTAGGTTTCATAATGAAGTATTATGAATATTCCTTTTAAAATTAATTTTAAACTGATAAATAAAAACATAAAAATTGTACAAACATGGGGTTATATGTGCTATTTCAATACATGCATCCACTGGATAGTATTTACATCAAGTTAAACATATCTCTATTCAAATATTTATATTTTTTATTTTTATTTTTTGCAGTATGGGGGAATCGAACACAGGGCCTCATGCATGGTAGGAAAGCACTGTAACACTAAGCTATACCCCAGCACCATTTATCATTTCTTTATAGTGAAATCTTTCAAAATTCTTTTGTTTAGCTTTTTGAAACACACATTATCATATTCTATAGCCACCCTATTGTGCAGTAGACCAGAACTTCTTGCTCAGTAATACTTATTCCTTTAACTGATAATACTAATGTTTAAACACTTAACATTTTGTAAAGCTTTTTTATTTAAATAAAGCTGTTTCCCCTGTGTTTAAAAATTCTGCATTACTATTAATTTGCTTTGCAGTGTGTGTTTGGCCCATTTCTTTACCGCACTACAGAGTAACTGTAACTTACACTTGTATACTATTTCATCAAATATGTCCCACAGCCCATGTACATTATCCAACTTGATCTTTGCAACTCTATAAGGTAGATGTGGAAGGTATTATTATTCCCAAATAATGATGGGCTCAGGAAGATTAAGTGGTCTGTCCAGAGTTACAAAGTTAATAAATAAATGGCCTAAATCTAGGCCTCCTAACACCAAATTCATTTCCTTTTCCACCATATGGCTTCTTGATTCTCTGACATGGAACTGTTTACTTTCTTTGCAAAGGTCTCTTATGATAAATGACATATTCTTTGACATGGTTAGGGTTAGTTGTATTTTCTTCTCTATAGAAGGTTAATTTATGTGGAAATTGAGATAAATTTTGGGCATTCAACTAAACTAGTGGGGTATTTGATACTGTCTTAAATGACTTGGCAAGGCAAATGAATCAAGTCATGCCTATTTATGACCTATTACTTAAAAAGTGAAATGATATGAGATAAGCAAACAAAAATGTTGATATACTTTATTCACTAAAGATGGTATAAATGTGCCCTGCAAACAACAGGTATTCACTCAACTGGATGAATTAATGAATAATTCTGCTACCTCAGCTCAAAATTTTATCTGTAATTACAGTGATCATGTCATCCAAATAGAGATACCTCTGTGAAGAAAGAAGGAGCTATTAATTATGCCATAATACAGATGTAAACTAAGATTGCTTCAGGCAAAGTAGGACAAATGGTAACCCTACCTACAAACTACTTAAGCACTTTGATTTTATTCTTGAGGAAATTAAATTTAACTTGAAAAAATTCAAAGATTGGGCCGGGGATTTAGCTCAGTGGTATTGAGCCTGCCTTGCAAGCCCAAGGTCCTGAGTTCAATCCCTGGTACCAAAAAAAAAAAAAAGGAAAAAGAAAAGAAAAAAAAGATTAATTAGGATGCTAATACTATAGATATAGAACATATAATTTCTGAATAAAAATTTCTTCCCAGATTTTAATGTTAACTTTATCTGACTACTCGTAGAAATAGACAGAGAAACTTTCTACAAATACAGTATAAAATAATTTCTTGGCGGGGGATTTAGCTCAGTGGTTACGCTGCCTACCTCACAAGTGCAAGGACCCAAGTCCAAAAAAAATATTTCTTATGTTATTTCCCAGGAAACAACAAACTAAATGACAGTTACCTTGATTACTTAAATAATATGACATATGTCACCTTTTAATGGCATGAAGCCAAAATCTAGGGACAACCTGAGTTTGTAAGGGTTAAAATAAAAGAACAG